TTTTGTAATAAAAGCGTGTTTTTAGTTTTTTTAACTATAATATTATTATGTTTGTTAACGCATAAGTTTGGACCACGTCAACCGATTTCGATAATTCTTTTTGCATCGGAAAAGTAGTGTCTCAGAGGTGGTCCCATGCTAATTTAATCTGACCATTGGATCATGAAATATATATATGTAAATATATTTTTTTTATATGAGAATTGAAGGCGGTTTTGTTTTTTGCTTAAAATTGTTGTTTAATTTTATTTTTATTAATTTAATAAAAAGTTTTTGTTTTTTTCTCATTGATTTCGCAACCAAGAATAAAAACTCTACGCTCTTTTTAAAACTTTCATTCTCGCATATGAAATCCATAAACAAGAAAATAATTTGAAAAAATAAAAAATAAATCAAACCTATCCGCCAACAACTAAAGTTTTTACCCATTTTGGCACATGTAACATGCAATTTTCCACTGTCAAAACTGCACGCAAACACCAATCAACGGTAACAATAACAATCGAACAATCTGTGTGTGCACTTCAAAATATTTTCTTAAAATTTTTCTTTTTTTCTGCATATTTCCTTATTTTTTTCAGTGCCACAGTTGCACAGAGCTTTAGCTATAACGCTTCGGTCGTCAGTCAGGATGCCAATTGCAAACTTATTTGTTTTTGAAAGTAGTAAGTCTTCAGTGAAGAGTAAGTAGCATGCACATGTTGCAATGTGCGCAAGTGATTGCAAAGCGGAAAAAGTGAAAAATTGCAAAAGCCCGTGCGATTGGAAAACTGGAAACTAACTATGTATGTATGTAGTTGGCAGACTTAATTGACAGCAAGACTTTTCGCACTCAACTATAAGGAAATAATGGAAACATAATTAAGAACCGATTGAGATAAATTCAATTAAAGCGAGTGAAAGATTGTTGAAAAGTGTGAAAAATTAGTTTATTAAAGAGTTTGTAATTAAAATTGGTTTAATAAGATTTAATATTGCTAAGGCATAGATATAAGTACATAAACCAAGTGGAAATGATAGCGAAAGTTTATGATCTACAGCATATCAATACTTTTGCGCTTTTTACTGTTTAAAATTTTTAAAATTTCTTAATTTAATTTTTGTTTTCGCATGCGCTTCGCTTTGCTTTCAATTCCATTTGTAACGCAGTGATGCTCAATACTTACCATCACATTCAAACAATGCTTGTCTCCAATTCAATATTCCAAAATAAAGCGCTGCAGTGCATAAAAATTCATATTTATTTTTCATTTTCCTTAGACCAAAAATACATATTTTCGAATTTCTAGATAACAAATATTTATGTCTATTCGTGCAATATGCCATTCCTTATGTTTACAATGCGTGCCTTCACCGCGGCATTTCGATTGCCATATGTTGCGCCATGAAGTTGCCACAAAGGACTAATATTTCTAGACATACTGACATTTTTACATAAGGATATTTATATGAAAAGTATTTGTACAGCTTCCTAAGGTGGTGTTTTGCTTCACAAAAAAACAAAATGAAGGCAATTTCAAATCGGCAACTGATTGTTTGTTTTTGCCGCTGCATTACTTGATTTGAGCAGCAAGGATTGCTTGTAAATATGAGTATTAAATTATGGTTTTTTACTAGGTATTATTATGTAGCTATAAAATTAGATAGTGGAGCGCAGAAGCTTTTGTCTTTTTAACGAAAAAATAGTGTACTAAAATAGGATAGAGACAAGTAATTTGAAGAGTTATAAAAAAGGACATCCCATCGCATTAGCTCAAGGTTAAGAGAATACAAATAGGAACATGAATACGAATATAGGTACGAAAATGGTAATGCATATAAATAAGAATATGAATAGTATTATTGAATATGAATAGGAATAAGATATTGAATATGAACTTGAATTTGAATAGATATGCGAATATTAAAATTAATATGAAGAAGCATATGAATATGAATATACATACGGATATGTATATAAAAATTAATTTGAACATGAATATTAATATAAATATGATTACGAATATGATCACATATGAATAGGAAATTGAATATTAATAAGAACATGAATATAGCTTTGGATACGTGATGTGCATCGAAAAGATATTGATTATGAACACGAATATAAAATTGAATACGAATATGGCTATAAATATGTACTATATGAATATGAATGTGTGTATGGATATGAATATATGTACATATGTATGAATATGAATATGTTTTATCGACATGAATATGAATGTGAAAATAAATGTAATTGGGAAAATAATGCATCCGCAATGCGAATTACGATATATAATATTGTTATTCATATCGATAAAATATTATTGATTATTATAAAAGATTTGAGCGATTGATAGTAATGATCAAAGCGTAATAAAACAATGCACATGCACAAATATATTAAGAAAATATCGATTAATTGCACGATATCGATAAATTAATCGTTAAGTGTATCGAAAACGATGTCGAATATGTTTATTTACTATTTGAAAAAGTGAATAGATTACAATTATAATTTGTTTCATGACTTACGTATTTCTTTTTACTGCCATATAAAAGAAATCGATTGCCTCATGGAAAGATCTACAGAGTAAGGGAAATGTTATTTTATGTTTTGGCTGGTTAGGCTTCTGAAGGCAGTGAACTTCTTCACGTATGGATTGAAACTGGACGAAGGTGAAGGGGTCTTCTGTCCAGAGGATTCCATCAGTATGAGTCCACGCTGCCAAACTGCTGTAGTGTATTTCAGACGAAGGTGGCTGGTATAAAGGATCCCACCGTCACTTCTCAAGAGAGCGCTGACAGTCAAGGAGGTGAACATTAATTCTGATAGCCAAGCGGCTATCATATCATATATCAGTCTTGTTTAAAAGAGAAAAAATCAAATTCTTTACTCTAAACGGATCGAGTACTTTTTTTTAATTGCTCACGCAATTTATTTCATTTTAGCAAATAAAAATGTGACACTATTTTGCCATTTATGCTGAATTAAACTTTTCCTGTAAATAAATATTGCGTTATTTAATTTTCAATAAATTTTTCACAAAAAGTCGCTTTAAAACTGCCAATGCGTGTGTGGAGAACAAATAACAAAATGACAAATAAAATGTGCAACGTAATTTCCACCACATTAAATGAATTTTATTTGACGTTACTCATACGCTACGTACACCCGGCTATAAAAAACAAGAGCACCAAGAGGCAAGTACATATTTGTAGATAAGTATGATTTTTTGATTGTACCCTGCAAACCATGCTTCCAGAGTTATCTGAATAATAGAGAAATCTTAAAGAATTCGTTAAGCGTAATTTTTTCCTCTTCCGATGTTTTATCGAGTTTTCTAAAATGAAATTTACTGTTCTTTTTACTAAATTTCACATGAAAATTGGTAAAGAAATGAAATAAAAACTGCGATGTGAAGAATTTTTTTCCAAATTTTTTTTTTTCATAACTTTCTTAAAGAAACTATACAGAAAGTTCTGAACGAGTTCGTGTCAACCAGTTTATATGATTTTCTTTGAAAATTCGTGAAGAAATCAGAACACATTGGCGATACTCTTTAAGACTTCGCTGATTACATTAAAGTGGCCAAAAAAAAAAGAAAAGTCGGAATTTTATTGCTATGTATTCGGTATTGTTATATACCGCAAAAAGTATACCCTTATTATTTTACTTTGAAATAAAAAAATTATTAGAGGTCGCTCTAAGCGCCTAAAGCTTTCCATGTATTTTATATGGGAAAAAACAACTTTTCGCAGGAAGGGTATAGAATGGCTAAAAATCAATATTTTTCTACCAGAAAACTCTGCTTATCTGTAGAATATTGCCAACAATAATACCCAATTGTTTAGTTAACCATTTTTTTTTATCGGAACTATAGTTTATAGGTCCGCCAAAACCCCACAAAAACCCCGAAAAATGCAATGGGGCGACCAAAAAAAATCGATAGTATTAAAAATGCCTAAATAAATAATTGGGTATTATTATTTTGAAAGACTTCTGAAGAGAACCAGAGTTTTTCGATCGAAAAATATTGATTTCCAAGAATTCTGTACCATTTCTACGAAAATTTGTTTTTTTTCCATATAAAAATACATGGAAAACTTCGAGCGTTTTGGGCGACCTTTAGTTATTTTTTTGATTTCAAAGTAAAGAAAGGGGGGTATACTTTTTCGATATAGAACAATCCTAGGGGTGGGAGCATTACAATTCCGACTTTACTGTTTTTGGATCACCCTAATCTACATACATATGAATATTAAGTTGACTGTATTGTTGCAAAGTACAAAGTAAAATTACGTACGGAAAAGAAGGATACCACAAGCCACAACAAAAAAGTCTTTAAGATAATACAAAAAGTTTCGTTGTGTGGTGTAAACAAAACCAGTAAAACGAGACACGAGGTCAGGTGATTGTTCTTTAGATGGAACTCTTATTCCTTTATTATAACCTTAAAGATAATTTAAGAGAAGCTTGTAGCAATGAAAAGCTTGAAGTATTTACCATTAAAAAAAGGTTAAAATTATACTGATTGAAGGCTGGTTAGTTAAGTAAGGTTAGGCTAGGTTACGTAAACTAAGGTAAGGTGGCAGTTGTGGCAGTTCGTGGAAGTAACCTTAGGTAAGGTGCTTAGTAAAAATCTGGATAGACACGTAATACCCATTGAATTGAGATGACCTAGTTCACCGAAGAAATAACTACGATTTTGCTATACTTTAGCTAGTAAATAGGTAGTACTCGTACTGCTTGTAATCCTAACAGACAGAGTGGGGTCAGAATTATAGCTGTTATGCGGCTTATCTGCCTCTTAAGATTCAAAAAAGTTTTCGGACGTTGTCCAAACATTGATAAGCGAAGTGATCTGGGGATTTTTATCTTCGCTTTAATCTATAACAGAATTTTCAGGAGAAAGTAAAAATTTTCGTCTACCGCTTCACGCTAATGGTGTAACTGGTTATACCATAGTCTTTTACTATCTTTCCACCATAGTCTTCTTTAGCTTTATCGAAAACAAGAGACTTACATATGTATAGCTTTGAAGTAGTGAAGGACTGTGTCTTTGCAGCGAATCAAGCGAAGGATAACTCTTATCAATAAGTGATGCTATGGGATAAGCAGGCAATCGGAAAATAGAGCCTACTTTCTCTGAATAATATGTACGCTCTCTCAAGCTCTCATTATACCCGTTTTTTTATATGGCGCAGAAACTTCGATGATGTCGAACAAAGGTAACAAAGGTTTGGGGGATTGCGAGAGAACTATTTTTAGAACGAGCTATGGCCTTGTTTGTTCGAAATGTATGAGCTATATAAAGACATGACGCTGACTTAGGAGCTTGGTACACATTGAGGAGGATGCTGTGGTGAAAATAACCTTCGACTCGGCGCCGATGTGTAGACAACGAAGAACCTGTCAGCATTTGGTTTGAGTAAGTGGCGAAACTTGGCAAAAGACAGAGGAAATTGGAGAAGTTTTTAGTCTTGATCCAATCCGAAAAGGCACAGTTATGTGTTTTTTTTTATTTATGAAAATAACGATAAATCACTATGCTTTACAGTAACTAGTAAAAAACGATAACTACTAATATCGATTAACGCAGTTTACTTTAAATTTTTGTATATATTTTTTTATTGTTTATCTCAATAAATAAGTTTTACCGTTACAAATATCGATAGATAGATAGATTTCTAAAGAAATATCTATGCATGTATAAAGATATTGATAATTCTTTTTTATAGATAAAATTATCGATAAATATCTTTAAATTCATATAGCTAGTAAATACTGACAGTTAGTAAATACCGATAATAAAATTGATAGTGATAAAAATTTCGATACCTTTTTCCGATAAAAATATCGATACAGACTTTATGATAAACCTCAACTCAAACCTAAAAAACGTTAATGAACAATACTTAACTGCGTTATAAAGATTTAGCAAGAAATAGAGACATGCTCCATTGCCCAGTAGTAAGGAGTTTCTTCAGTTTTGAGTTGCGTCGTTTTTTCGAAATTCTATATTCGCTTTGAAATTAAAGAAAAATATGCATTTATTGGGAGCTGTCCTAGTCTACCATACCTACACATATGCATACAATAAATGTAGTATAAATATTTTAAGCACACTTCCAATACCTGCTCGTAAAATAATTTCTTGACTACGCGCATAAACTCTTTTATAGCTTTTCTATGTACGTACGTACAACTTCTAAGGATTTCGATGTCACTTTAAAGATATGCCATTGCCGTGCATAGAAAAATTTGCTCAGTAAACAGCTCCATTTCCATAGACAACATCTTTAACGCTTGTATCTGCTTGTGTGCCACATGCTAGTATGCTGAGAAAAAAATAGAGAAAAAAAGCGCTAAAATGCTATAAATCATAAAGTAAATCTTATGGCAACATTTATGTCGCCGCCTCTTTGCCACCGCGCTGAGCCGGCAAAGGCACGTATGCTATGCCACGCACTGCACGCCATCTCCTCCTTATTGCAGCTGGTGTGGTGTTACTGATGCTGTTGTTGTTCTGGCTGTGGGTTGTGCGTCTTTAACAAACAATTTTTCGTATAATGAAGTCATTTCACAGTTCGTTGCGCCACTTACCACTACATGCGGCCAGCCAGTCACTGGAGAGGTGTTATAAGCAGTGATGCCAGACATTCTCTGTTAAATATCCCACGGAAATGGGGAAAAAATCCCTCAATTACCCACATCTTGAAAATTTATCCCACAAAATTCCCAACGAATTTAAACATATACATGTTTCAGTAGTAAAGAAGTAAAATTCATATAAAATAATAATAATAGTTTGGCGCTTACACATATGCGCTTTTCCTCCAATTTGTGGCGGTCCCCTTGATGTCACACAAAGGGGAGGGACCTACAGTTTTACGCCGACTCCGAATGGCGAGTGTATTTTTATGAGAAGCTGTTTTTCATGGCAGGAATACACTCGGAGGTTTGCCATTGCCTGTCGAGGGACGACCGCTGTTAAGAAAAAACCCCTTTTTCTGCATTTTTTCACTCATTCGTTTTTTCCCTTTCATTTTTTTGCTCACTCACTAAGGGCCTAAAAGAATTTTTTGGTGACTTTAAAATTGAAGCACATTCATGTGCTATTTAACATTTCATCAGATAATTTGTTCCGCTTTTTACATGAAACACCAGTTACAACTGAAAAGATTCTTTCTTACTGAGCGCTTGAATTGGTTAACGTAAGAAAATTTTCGAAATTGTTCTTATACTTTTTAACAATTATATACCATTTCACTCCACATCACATCTTCAGAGCGATTAATTACGTAAGAATGTCGAATATTCTTGAATTTTGATCAATTATGCAACAATAACTGCGTCAAAAGAAAATCCCTTATTTATATGAAGTGTCCCTTTTTTCCCTTTTAATAATTTTTGATGCAAAATATCCCTCAAATAGGGAAATTACCCACAATCTGGCATCACTGGTTATAAGTCACATGTACTAGAAAGAAGAAATATGTATTTAGAAGTAGCCGAATGAAGCGTTCTGCCACACTCTGCCGGCTAGTTTATTTAGTAGTAGTGGCTGTAGCGCTGATTTGCTGCAAAATAAATAGGCTGAGCGTGTTCGACTCGATATACAGTTAAAGTCACGTATAGCACACTTTTCATCTTGTATTAATGTCGCATTATATTCATGTAATGTACTTACTTAGTAACATATGTATAAAGTACATAAAGAAATACTTACATACATACATACATGCATACATATAAGAACTTGGTATCCTAAGAGTCTTTCTTCTGGCTGTGTTTGTTTGTCGGTAAATTTGGTAACTAACTTTGCTGATATAATGCTGTTGGCCAAAAGTTATGAATCACATCAAAGTTGATTAATTTTATTCCTTTTTATTTATTTGTTGGAAAATGTAGCTAAGTTGGCGCAAGTGTATTTAATATGTCTCGCATTTGTTGTTGATGTAAAATATGATTTTTGGAGTTTTAATGACAAAATTTGCGAAAGAGTGGGAATGGGGCTATTTGTCATGAGATAAAAACTAATGTTTGAAGCAACGAACTTTTGTGTCATTTAAATTACAAAAAATTGAGCAGATTTATTCAAACTACTTAGCGTATCTAGGGTGATCTGAGGTTTTGAGGCTACTTAAAATTTAAGGAAACTCCTGTTTTGAAGTTAAATTTGAATTCATGGGAGTAAAAAATGGGTACTTACTTTAACTGGACATAAATTCTGCGTCGCTGGGACATCGATTTTTTTGGCCATATGGAAAGTGGGCATAAATTCTGGGTCATTTAAAAACTCCATATGATTTTTAGTAATTTTGTCTATTAAAAATTGGACATCAATTTATGATAAAAAAAAAATGTGTCTGTTGAAAAAATGGACATAAAGTTATGTTCACAAAAAATTGGCCATCGATTTTTGGTGACTTGCAATTCGTCACATCTTTTTGTACTTTTGAAACTGGACGTCATTTTTTTGCAAACCAAAACTAGACATAATTTTCTTCCTTTATTTTCGTACTGGAAATAAATTTTTGGTAATTTAAAATCAAAAATTAGGCTTGAAATCAGAAAAAAGCTTTTGGCTACTTAAAGCTGGGCAACATTTTTGGAAATTCAAAGTGTGTATGACATTTTTTGGCATTTTAAAAGCGGGACATAAATTAATGGTGATACAAATCTTTTGATAAATTTTTGGTGCCTTAACAATTGGTCATAAGTTTTGTCCTTTTAAAAATTGACATGCAGTTAGCGATTTAAAACTTGACTTACCTTTGGCAATCAAATACGTAGACGTAAATTTTTGGGTGTTTTAAAAAATGGATATAAATTTGTGGTCATATAAAAACTAGCCACCAAACTGCCAATACTCTGGCAGCCCTCCTTGACATAGAAGGAGCCTTTAACAATATTCGGTTAGAAACTATCCAAAAATCCCTTGACGAGCTCGGCGTCGAGAAGGCTAAAAGCGCGTGGCTAAGGGCGATGCTTCGCAGCAGAACAAATTCAGCTGAATTTGGAAGCTGCATATTAACAAGGAACGTTAGTAGGGGCACTCCTCAAGGGGGAGTGATCTCTCCTATTTTATGGCTTAGCACCATCAACTCAGTACTACTCAGTACGCTAACGATGAGGTGATTTTAATAACCGAGTTATTCCCATCTGTGGTGAGTAACATCATGGAACCTAGAGATAACAGAATTAATGCTCTATACAGCCAGGAATAAGGTCCCAAGCTTTGAACTACCAAAGCTAAATGGACAAAGCCTACGACGAATAAACATGCGAAGTATCTGGGAGTCATACTGGATCTTAAGCTAAGTTGGAAAATGAATTTTGAAGAGAGAGTAAAGAAAGCGAGTATTGTCTACTACTCCAGTAAGCGGCTTTTTGGGAAGACATGGGGTCTCAATCCAAAAGTTGTACTCTGGATGTACACAGCGGTTGTACGTCCAATCTTTTGCTATGGTTTTCTGGTATGGCAGACGGCCTTAAAAAACAGTATAATCAAGTAAAACTAGGCAGAGTTCAGAGAGCTGCATGCATCGGTACCACACGGGCTGCCCCACTGATGCTTTCAATGTTATTACAAGCCTGTTTCACATAAGGCACACCGCATCACTATCGGCTATAAGACTCAGAGAACTGGGGGGGGAAGGG